TTAATATTTTTTTTTTAATTGCCGTGGAAGGTTTTTTGCAAGCTACAACACGAATTAATGAACTATATTTTTTCAGTTTTTTTAAAACCTTGCTAGGCACGGGCAATTTATTTCTTAAAAGATTTTTAAATATTTCCGATAGGCAATTTATGTGTGGCTTTTTGAATTTTTCAATTAATTTCTTTCTGCTGGAGTACTTAAGACCGGCTAATAGTCTTATCAGATCCCAGTATTTCTGAACTAAAGGCTCCTTCATAGTTTCAGTACGTCATCGGCGTCGACCCATTGGTCGAATGATTGATCATAACCCTCGTATCTGACTTTATATTGCAACTGACCGTCGACTTCTCTCTTGCTCAAAACCTTTTCAATATTGAAGGCGGCGGGCAAATGGGTGAGGGTTAGTTCCTGTCTATAAAACCCTCCGTCAATATTGCCACCGTTCAAATCTTTCAAATAGTATAAAGGGACCCTCTGGCTATTGTCCACTCGCGCGATTGTGAAGATTTCTCGCGTATTCTGCTGTTTGAAACCTTTTTTAAATTTCGAAACGCGATCAGATAAAGTAATGCGTACTGTTTCGCCAACCTTCAGCTGTGGAATGATGCCCCGCGATGTTTTGCCTGGGTTTTTATACATTAAGTTAAATAGATTGACAATCTCTCTTGGTTTTGTTAAAGCATGCGCCTCTCTGGGGGTTCTGCCCCCCAACCCTCGGTGTGGCGAGACATTATATGTTTTTACAACGTCAGGCAGCACCCCTATATATTTCAATGTGTTGTGCGAAGTCATATACTTGTAAAGCTTAGTTTTCAAAGTGCGTATGAATCTTTCGGCTATGGATGCTTTTGTTTCCTGAGAAAATACACTATACAGCACAATTTTCTTAGAGGCCAACATCTTTTTCACACGCGCGTTGTAAAATTCGCCCCCGCGATCTGAATTAATTTTCCGCACCCCGCGCGAGTGAGGTGTCTCTAGTATAGATTTTAGTGCCCTACACACAATGTTCGCGTCTTTACTAGTTAGCGGCACTACTTGAGCAAACCTGGAGTATATGTCCACACAAACGAGCAGATATTTGATGCCATTATTCATCCCTGCCAACTTCCCCATTTCTGCTAGATCAACAGACACATAAACCCGTGGTTTAGGACTCAAAACTCGTCGACGCGCGAATTTTTTAGGTTGTAAATAATGCAGCGTATATGCGTCTGAGGATTTTAAGTAATCTTTCACATCGGCCAGTGTTATGTCAGAATTAAGTAATTTAGCTGCTTTATATAATCTCTGCACGCCTCCAAATCCCCCAGTGGAAGTAGGATCATTATAAACTCGATCGAGTATTTGCTGTTTCTTGCTCACCATTGATAAACTATTTCAAATGGTTTCTCTTCGACAATATTCCCGCGCAAAGTTATGCTGGCGGGTGTGCTTGACCCGAGATCTACAAATAAATAACCATAGGGTTTGGCTATGACCTTTTTATATATTTCTAGAAATTTCTTTGAATCCTGTTTCCCAAATATTTGACGTCCCAAAGTCTCAATTTGAGAAAGATCTCTTGATTTGACTAATAAGAAATGCGAGGCGTTTAGGCTTATGTTCCTAGAATATTTTCCAGGGAAAAATATATTTTGCGTGATCAATATGGCAGAGATGTTATGATGACGCCCCCTGGTGAAAATATCAGAAACAATTTTTGAATTTGCGCTTTCAATAAAGAGATCGTCGATTATTATCAGCATTGGGGAATTATCCATTTGCTCATCCAAAGGATCAATAATGCTCGAATGAGCAACAATTTTTCTATTAATTCGTGGATTGTTCATCAACTCGGGATATTCCCCACCACATATAATTATTCGAGCGAATGTTTCATGGTACTTGTGCACGAGTTTGTTGCATAAAAATGATTTCCCTGCATTTGAATAACCCACTATTATCATCCGACATGGTTCCCTGAAGATGTTAAGATGGGCTTGAGATATTATCTCATCAGGTCTTTCCATGTTGGGGGCTGAGTCTCTACTGTTTAATATGCACACTGTGGAATGTTATATATATATATATATATATATATATATATATATATATATATATATATATATATATATATATATATATATATATATATATATATATATATATATATATATATATATATATATATATATATATATATATATATGACAATGTCAGACCACGGAGGAAAAATGAAACAGGAAAATTCCCTTAAGTACTTTCGTATATTAAATACATCTTCAGAAGGTCATTTTACAGATCGAGTGATGGGTATAAATAGGCAGGAAGGAGTGGTGAAGTAAGGTGAGGTACAATACTTGGACAACGCAGACGGCCCATTGGCCCATCAGATGCACCCAATTGGCACATCCGATGTAGCCCAATGGCCCATCTGATACAGCAGACATACAAGCATAATATATAGGTAATTATAACATAAAGAAGTAAATATATACAATAAATTAGTGAGACAAATGTTTTTCAATGATTCTACTTAAATCGCCCTTTAGCTGATCTATTAGAAATGGATCTAAGTTATATAGACCACTGCTAATATTCAAATTACTTTCTTTGGTGATCTGTATCAAAGCAGATTCAATTATGTTTCTGTTATAGGTGCTTTTACAATTTGTTAATGAAGAAGCACTCTCCCAATCAATTTGATGAGCTTTTTCTGACAAATGCACAAACAAAGCATTAGACAATTGGCCATGTCTTACAGAGTATTTATGGTCTGACATAAATATTCTCCGTGGTCTGACATTGTCACATTCTTAATCACGTGTTTATTTTCGTGATATACACATATATATATATATATATATATATATATATATATATATATATATATATGGGGGATATAAAAAAAACATGTATTTCTTTCTTTTATAGAAACATAAACATAATATATATATATATATATATATATATATATATATATATATATATATATATATATATATATATATATATATATATATATATATATATATATATATATATATATATATATATATATATATATATATATATATATATATATATATATATATATATATATATAGATAGATAGATAGATAGATATACAAGCTTAGGGCGTGACAAAGAAAACATTAAAAATACGTACTTTTTTTTTGTTTATTGAAACAAAACATAATATATACATATTTACAAGCTTAAATCTATAGGCATAATAATAATAATATTAATAATAATAATAACATCCCTTATAACATTATAAAATAATAACAACAATAAAAATAATAACACGCACTAATGTGAGAATGCAAACAGTTTTTTTTTTTTTTTTTTTTTTTAAATGCAGAGGAGCGAGCATATTTCACAGCAAGTTTGGGAATAGGTTTTGGGCCAATGAATCTCTCTTGGCCCACATATTGAAAATTGGGTAATGACGCCGTCCTGCAGGGCGTATATTTTGTTCCACATTTTCCTGCGCGTCCACATCCATCTCTAAGTCACTAATGACTGCCTCCTCATCCTCTGGATTGTGTGGAATATCGGGGTGACCATAAGCGAGTGAAACGGTGGGGCTTATTACGTATCGCTTATCATCAAACGCGGATAAGCCTCTCTTGACAGTAACGCATGTGCACATTTGCCCGCCAACATTTCTAATAGTCCTAGTCACAAACCTCCGACTTGTGTTTGTTTCAAGGGCGTCTATGAAAGATGAGTGTTCTAGCCCAGCTTGCTGACGTCGTGTGATCCCCTTGCATCTGCAAATGTGCTGTTTATCCAGCGTCACTAGCGAGTACATTTTGGGCTTAAGGGCAACGAGCTGGGTTATAATTTTAGACCCTACTTCGGACTTTAAAAGACCCAGTTTGCCTTTTCGCGCGATTGAATATAGAGAATGATCTTCGGGGAAATTGCTAAAATCAATGTGGCGTATGAGCGGGGCCTTATTAAGCTCTTCAAAAGCATCTCTGCAAGTAAGCTGAATAATGTACGAGTCAGTGTCGGTGTAGAGCAGTTTTGCCTTGTCACCATATTTTGCTTTGACCGTGTCGTACCAAAAGGAATATAGCCGCCTTTTAGCTATTTGAAGAATTTGAAAGCCTAGATATGTGGGCGTATCAATAGTGAGCGAATCTTTGCGGGTCGTGCAAAGGACACGGTCCTCACTCAGCAAAGTCGCACGTTTGAAAAACGGGCTGCGCGCGTGTTTGAGGAACTGTTTGCGAGTTGTGGTTAAATAGTATTTATTGGCATAACGCTCCAAATTCGTTAAAAATTTGCCATATATAGCGTTATTTACAAGTTTAAATGCCTTAGATTTAATTGCACAGGTCGAGTTTGTGCGCTCGCGAATATTACTATCTACCAAGGACTTGAGGTGTGCCCTCTGCTCAAATTCAAAGATAGTGTGCACGCGCGAAACTTCCACCCCTAGTCGCATTAAAAGCTGAAAGAAATCTAGACTAATTAAATAGTCGCGTTGTGCTTCGTGGGTGGCAATGAGTTTTCGATTATTGCGCGGCAGCTTGCGATTTTCCGCAACTAGGATCGACTTGCTGTATTCTGACAGTTGTCCCGTCACGATGTCGGCGTGTGCTAAAATTAATGGCAGGTCGTCAGTGTATCTAGCTACGTCGGGGGAAACTTGTTTAGTGTCGCACAAAATCCAATAACCGCGCTCTTGATTGCAGTCAATATTTCTCAAACCCTGCAATAGCATTTCATCGCGTTCAGCGTCAGTTAGGCAACGGAAACCGCCAGTGGGGAGCTTTTCACTCATGCACATAGCATAGAGTGAATTAAAGTCGAGATAGAGGATGTAGGTTCCATCCTCGCCAGACCCCGCCCCGGTGTAATGGTTCTCGGCGGTAGACAATTGCTTTACAACTGAGGTGAAGCCTCCTCTTAAATTCCTGCGAATGAGGTCATACATTCTAGGGTCTGATATTGGATCTAGCACCACCTTACTTTTGAACAGGAAGGCGTCCCACGCAAAACTAGATAAAGAGGTAATATGCAATATCTAATCTATAAAGATCTAACATAGTGCGTCGCCACACCGTGAAAATGTCTGCTAAAATGCCAGTATCAACTTTTAAATACAAGACGAGATATTCGCCAATATTGCGGCATTTGGCTAATTTAAAAACCTCCAACGCTTGTTTGTATTCTTTTTCAGGGAGCTCTTCCTGCGTCAAGGTATTGAAAAATGCATCTCTGGGGGGGAGCCGCGGTTCATTTAATACATCCCAATTTGACACGTAATCATAACAAAAGGACTGTTTGCCAGTTAACAATAAATTATGGGTCTCAGCAGGGACCTTATCTAACATGGCGAGAGTGAACGTCGTAGGTTTGCCACTGTCGATGTGTTCCTTGGCTAATTTGACCAACGACCCATTGAGCAAGGCTAAGCTGTCCATAAATCTAAGAAAGTCAATGTCAACTTTCATAAATTTATACCCGTCTTTGGACATAATGTCTACGTTGCGTTTGGGCACGTTTCCTAACTCGTTTAACAAAACCCCTAAATCATACGCCGCATTATGTGAAAATGCGTGCAAGTATTTGTAGCCATCTTTGCACTGGAGATTGCAGCGAGAGCATAGGGCGGCTAAGTAATTATGTTCGCTCAGTGAATGGTCGTGGTGTCTATTTTTGACGATTTTGGGCCCGAAAGGTTCGTCGCATATCTCGCACATGGTCTGACTCTTGTAACTTTCCCTTTGCTCATTGGACATGTGCAGATGGTAATATGGCTGTTCTCGCGTTATTCTGGCCCACGAGGAGGATAGTTTATTAACAAAATGGGTTGCAGAATTAGGCCCGAGGTAGAAATCTTTTTCTACGATATTATAGCGACGGTCTATGATTATGTACGCATATGCAATGGCCCTGTGACGTGCTTCGATTATGCCCTGTGGCCTATCCTTTTGCAGGGCGCACTCAAAATCGTAGTAACACGTGTGGCTTGGCCCGTACGCTCGCCCGAAATGTTTAAACTCTATTTTCTTTTCAGGGGGAGGAAAATGCAACGTTTGTTTGACCTCGCAAGTTGATTCATGCTCGAGCATTTGATGGGGTGGGAGGGCGATGAGGCAGCTGTGACAAAAGTCATAATCAGCTGGGATGTTTTCCGAATGAGACCTCATATTACGCACATATTTGGTAAAGTTCTTGATGAGGACCAAATGTTGGCCTTCCAGCATAAGTAAAGATATGACATCCTTAAAATTCCCACGGCCTTTTCTAGCCAAACTAATGTAATGACGACCATTATCTCCTTTTACCAGAACATAAATAAATATAGAAGACCTGTTTAAATCTTCGACTTTGGCGATGTCGTCAAAAGATACCGGGGTGCCTATATTATTACTCCATCTTACTTGTCGGCGACACCATCGCCCAGATTTGGCCCGAGTTTTGATGTCGTTATAAAGGAGCCCGCGGGCCAAACATTTGTGCACTGCGATGCACTGCATAAGGAAAATATTGGCTTCCCCTCGGGGGTTGAATACGTGGCCTTTGCCCCGTAACTTGGCCGGGTAATCTATGAATGAACCCAGTCGAATTGGGTGTTCGATGAGGGCCACATTTATGTAAAACCCCAAAATCAACTCTATCCCGACACTCGACCCTTCCTGTTCCCCTAGCAACTCCTCTAGTTTATTGTCGATCTCTTCGACCCACAAATTAACAAGCTGTTCTACTTCCTCTTGAGTTATGGCACGCATTTCCCGCGCATGTGCATTACTGGATCAAAATCATCGTCGGGTTCTACGTTGAGCCTCCGCACCCCAAACGTGAAATCAGGGAAGACTCGTATATGTGGATGTTCTAAAGTAAACAATCCACTGACGAAATTAATGAAAAATGCGCGATATGTTCGTAAATAAGCCCCTGGATCACCCCGCACGTGCTCTGGCACGCTAAATGAATAGCGTGTGTAAGCCCCATTGAAATTGCGAATGATGTTCACAATTTCAATATCCCGAGGAGGGGGAGGGGACGGGGAAGGTGGTGGTGGTGGTGAGTCGACCGACTCTGGTGATGAGTCTGCTGGGTTTGATGATGATGAGTCACTGTCAGCGTCTGCAAAAAAAAAAGAGGTATTAATAACTGCGTGTGTGTGTGTGTGTGTGTGTGTGTGTGTGTGTGTGATGTGTGTGTGTGTGAGTGTGTTGATTGTAAAAAAAATTAGCATTAATATTGGCATGCCCTTGTCTGTTTTTTTTTTTTTTTTTTTTTTTTTTTTTTTGAGCGAGTGGTGCGATCGAGATCACATAACAACACCAAAAACAAAACAAAAAATGTGAAATACTCACGTTCCCTATGCTGCCCCCCACGCCGAAGCGATGATGTTGACTGGTCGCTGCTATAACTTTCGAACAAATCGGGGGATCTGACGCGCATATGGACCGAGGAGCTGGGCGAGGCGTGTGCGTGTTGTTGTTGTTGTTCCTCGCATTGTTGTTGTTGTTGAATTAGAGTGCGATATGGCAGCCCTGGAAGGAATAGCCTTTTAAGAGGTGTCTATATCTCTCTCTCTCTCTCTCTCTCTCTCTCTCTCTCTCTCTCTCTCTCTCTCTCTCTCTCTCTCTCTCTCTCTCTCTCTAGCAATAATAATAATAATAATAATAATAATAATAATAATTAAAAAAAAATAACTTACGTTTGTAGTGGCGGGTTCTTGGTGGTGGCGGGTCGGGGTCGGAATCGTCATCGTCCGCCAAGTATGGGGGTGTTTTAGGTGAGAAATCCTGTTCAAAATCTGGCTTGGGGCTGAACATGTCGGGAGACCTGACTTGTGTGTTGATTGGTGAGCTGGGTGATGTTGGCTGGGCATCCTGCTGCTGCTGCTGCTGTTGCCGCTGTCGTTGTATTAGCAGTCGATATGGTTGCCCTGGTGGGAGACAAATTTTTTTTTTTTTTTTTTTTTTAAGAGGCGTGAATATATATATATATATATATATATATATATATATATATATATATATATATATATATATATATATATATATATATATATATATATATATATATATATTTGCATATATCCGCGAGCGCTATGTCATGGGTTCGTATCCTATTTATATAATAGCCTCTGTTTAACACAACAGTAAAATGTGTACTTGGATGAAAAAACGATTCTTCGCGGCAGGGGATCGTATTCCAGGGACCATAGGATTAAGGACTTGCCCGAAACGCTACGCGTACTAGTGGCTGTACAAGATTGTAACAACTCTTGTATATATCTCAAAAAAAAAAAAAAAAAAAAAAAAAAAAAAAAAAATATATATATATATATATATATATTGTCTCTCTCTCTCTCTCTCTCTCTCTCTCTCTCTCTCTCTCTCTCTCTCTCTCTCTCTCTCTCTCTCTCTCTCTCTCTCTCTCTCTCTCTCTCTCTATCTCTTTTTCAATAACGGCGTTGATAATGTGAATAAATAAATAAATAATAGTAATAACTCACATTTATAGCGGCGGGTTCTTGACGGTCGAGGGTCGAAATCGGGGGGCATGCCTGAGCATTGTGGAGTATGTGGCGAGGGCGACGATTCTGGGTCATCACAATCGCTGAATAAGTCGGGAGACCAAACTCGCGGGTTTGGCGATGGGTCCAAATCACTGCTCCAGAGTTCGTTGGTGGGTAATGCACAGCCTGGGCTTGTGGCATGGTGAATGGCTATGTGTGAAAAAAAATATATATATAATAAATAAGTAATATATATATATATATATATATATATATATATATATATATATATATATATATATATATATAATATTGTGGCAAATTACCAATGTTGTGGCTTACCAATGTTGTGGCAAATTTGTCCGCATTGGACGCATTTGATTAGGTTGCGAACCATCTGGCCGTGTGCTGGTGGCGAGGCAGTGTGAGACTGTGGATACCTGGGGTTATGATGTGGAGCACAACCACTTCCCCTCCCCGAGGATAACTACTTAAAATTGACCCTAGAGGGCAGCTCGTCACTGGCAAGTACCTGTACTGGTAATTATCTTTGAAAGGTCCCTGGGAGATCGCCAGTTTGGGACACGTGCGCATTAAAAAGCAATTTGCCACCTGCGACTGCCTCCATTGACCATTAAAACCAACCTTGGGTGTTGCCCGAAAAAAATTAGCTTAACATTAATGCAGTTGTGTGTGTGTGTGTGTGTGTGTGTGTGTGTGTGTGTGTGTGTGTGTATATATATATATATATATATATATATATATATATATATATATATATATATATATATATATATATATATGTATTGTAGTTATGTGTATTGTAGTTATGTGTATTGTAGGTTTTATTTGTTCAATAAAAAAGAACTAACGATGAAAATAAATAATGTTTTTAATTTACCAGTGGGGGGATATCTATAATACTGAATGAATGAATGAATTATGTCTTTTCTGATGTTTGCTCTTTCCTATGAAAAAACAAAACAAAACAAATATTTGATAATGTTCTTTCCTCTAAAATTAAAACATAAATACTTGTTTCTATATGTTTGGATGAAAAAAAAACATGAAATAATAATACGTTGTTGTTTCCAGATCTGAATAATAAGCAAACTCCCGATCTTAATAATTAAACTATCCAGTGTTTGGAAATAAAAATGGAACTTGCATATATTTTTTTCTGTCAATTATCTGAGTTTCCCCCTAGACGAAAACGGGACTGGACCGCCCGTGAAGATGTTTTCTGTGAAACGGAATATAGAGAAAATGGGGACAATAATCTGGAGTAACTGATGAAAAAATATAACTCGAGTCTTTCTCATTTTATTTTTTACCTGATTATTGAAACCTTACCGAATGTAAAGACAAAACCCTTTATTTCAGATACACTTCTCAGCAGGAATTAAAAAAACCCAGATATATTGTATTTACATAAAAAAAAAACACGCACACGCACACATATACTAGCGCCATTAAATACTCCAAAAACGTTTATATGCCTTTCACCAGTGTATTTTTTGGTTTCCAACTATTGAACATTCATCCTCGGTACCTCTCATAAGTAGAGACCCCCTTCTTGAGGCCCTAGACTCATCTTAAAAGCTCGAGACGAATCGTGCAAAAAAACAGGTTAGGATAGGGCACCAGTTCCTCAGGTACACCATGGGTGGTGGTCCCCCCGGGACCCCAGGGGGGACCACCACCCCACCCCCGCCAGCCAGCCAGGAGCGCGCTGACTGTGCCCTAACCTAACCACCTAAAATAAGAGGGATGGACGATCTGGCCCGCCAGGGTCAAGTCGGCATGGAAGTGCCCAACCGTTTCTGAAATTTTTTTACCTCAATCTGTCTCCTTATTCACTACTGTATACAAGGTTCTGAAGGATTCCTTACACAGGTTTCTGAAAGCAGTTCTGATGCTAGCCAGCCTCGCATAGGCCGCTGATGTTATTCTTTTGATGTGGGCTTCAGGAGACATGTTCGGCGTGATATCAACTCCCAGATTTTTTTCTCTGTCCGTTTCGTGAAGGACTTCATCTCCCATTCGGTATCCAGTGACTGGCCTCCTAGTTCCTCCTCCTAGTTTCATTACCTTACATTTACTTGGGTTGAACTTTAGTAGCCCTTTGTCGGACCATTCCTTCAGTTTGTTTAGGTCATCTTGTTGCCTCATACTATCCTCCTCTGTCCTGATCCTCCTCATAATTTTTGCATCATCAGCAAACATCGAGAGGAACGAGTCAATTCCTTCTGGGAGATCATTTACGGATATTAGAAACCGTATAGTTCCAGGGACTGATCACTGTGGGGCTCCACTGGTGACTCCCCGCAATTCCGAGACCTCACCCCTCACGGTGACTCGCTGTCTCCTGTTGCAAAGGTACTCTCTTATCCAGTGGAGTACCTTCCCTGTCACTCCTGCCTGCATCTCCAGTTTGTGCACTAGTCTCTTATGTGGTACTGTGTCAAAAGTTTTCTGGCAGTCCAGAAATATGCAGTCTGCCCAGCCCTCTCTCTCTCTTGCCTGATTTTTGTTGTCTGGTCATAGAACTCAATCCAGTTAGGCATGATTTGCAATCTCTGAACCCATGCTGATGTTGTGTTTCATGTTCTTTTGCTCCAGATGTTCCACTTGCTTTTTTCGCACAATCTTTTCTATCATCTTGCATGGAATGTAAGTTATGGACACTGGCCTGTAGTTCAGTGCCTCCTGCCTATCACCCTTCTTGTATATTAGGACTACATTGGCCGTCTTCCAAATTTTTGGCAGTTCACCTGTTACCAGTGACTTCTTGTACACCATGGAGAGTGGCAGGCACAGAGCATCTGCTCCTTCCTTTACAATCCACAGTGAGATTCCATCCGGGCCTATAGCCTTTGTCATATCAAAATCTAGCAGATGCTTCCTCACCTCCCCACTGGTAATCACAAACTCCTCTAGTGGTGTCTGGGTTGATGTTCCTTCCCTTATCTCGGGGACTTCTCCTTGCTCTGAGGTGAAGACTTCCTGGAATTTCTTATTGAGTTCCTCGCACACTTCCTTGTCCTTTTTAGTGAATCTTTCTGCCCCTATCCTCAGTTTCATCACCTGTTCCTTCCCTTATCTCGGGGACTTCTCCTTGCTCTGAGGTGAAGACTTCCTGGAATTTCTTATTGAGTTCCTCGCACACTTCCTTGTCGTTTTTAGTGAATATTTCTGCCCCTATCCTCAGTTTCATCACCTGTTCCTTCACTGTTGTTTTCCTCCTGATGTGGC